GGTCAGCTGGGGCTCCCGCAGGGGTGGCCACACTGCCGTGTCCTCACACAGCCCTCCCCGAGCTAATTGGCTTTTGACAGTGAGTGGATTTCAGGGCTTTGCCAGGAGACCCATCTGTGCCCCGTCCTGCCAAGGGCTGCGCGCGGCTCTGCCCTGCACGGGACAGGCACTGAGTGCTGCCAGAAGACAGAGCCTGTCGGCAGAGCAGCCTCCGGAAAGCTCTGGTTAAACATTTCCTCGGAGCTCCTTCCCCCAGGGCTGCAGAATCGCTGCCGGCGCCCCAGGCCAGCCGAGCCATCCCCAGCGGCTCCCCCGGAGTATCACCGCGCTGCTCACGGCGCTGGATCCTGCAGCAGGCAGACTCCCTCCCCAGAGCGATGTTTAGCTCATTACTGTGCTTCCGCTCATTTTGCCTTATTTACCTTCCACCTTTTTAAAGAAATCACTTTAAAATGTGCATCTGCAGGCTCTACCTTCATTCCCGGAGCTCTCCACAGACATCTCCTCCAACTGCCTGCAATTATCCTGATTTCCCACACCTGCCAGTGACCTCCTTGTTAATAACATTATTTTGCTCTTGTTTAGCTTCTCACAGCTTTCAGGTGTGAAGCTGCCGGAGGAGGGAGGCTCCGCATGGCGCTGCTGCTCCTCCCCTTTCTTCCCAGGTCTGCTCCCACTCTGCCAGCTCCTCCAGCTGCCAGGGCCCTGCTGTGCAGACAGGAGCCCCTCGAAAGGGATGTGGCTAGTGAATCAATATCCCATCTCACCAGAGCTTCCAAGAAAAATATGACTATGCCTATAACCCCCTCCTAAGCCCTGTCTGCCCGCCCTTCAGCAGCCCCCTCAGGTGGCTGGTGTGCTCTGGGATGGGCTCCAAGCTCTGAGAGAAATGCAGGTGTCTGAGGGAGGGCAAACGAGCCCAGTCTTTGCACTGAAGTATGTAGAAAAGACCTTGTTGTTTCTGGCAGGTCTGTGCAGGGACCCCCACTGGATCCCTTAGCCTTCTGCTGGGGCAGAGCAGCCTCTCCCAGCCCTCCCTGCCCACCTGGGGCACTGGTCCCAACAGGGTCAGGCTCCCCTGGGCTGCCCAGAAATTGTTTCTTCCCCCAAAGAGAGATGGGGGCCCTCTGTCTTACCTGGCATCAAGGAACCTTGATCTTAAAATCATTACTGCTTCACAAGTGCTTTGTTTGAGCTGCATCTGGATGGAGCTGAATTTTCGATGAATGATGCCCACCATCCTCTCAATCTCCTTGGGAGAAATAGGACGTGTCCGGCTCTGTTCTCTGAGGAGGTTCATCACATGTGTGGTAAATTCGTTACATGCCTGTGGAGGAAGAAGAGACTCAGGTGTGGGTTCGTGCCATCCCACGGGACACCAGCTCTGACCTGGCAGTTGGGGGGAAGGCAGCACTGGGGGCTGGGGACATCGCATGGCCCCATCCCCTCGGCTCGCGCACGGCCGCGGGGCAGAGCCCACGCCCTGCCCAGCAGACCCAGGGCTGTCCTGGGGCAGGGTAACCCAAGCACTGAGGACCCCGAGGCCTCTCCGAGGCTCCGTGTGCCCCTCGGCGGGTGGGTGTCAGTCCCAGCCGGGCACACACTGCCGAAGCATCGAGGGAGGGAGGGCACAGGGAGCCCTCAACCATCACTGCCACGCTGTGGCATGTTCTGATGGCTCCAGCACCACCAGACTGGTCGGAGGCTCTGCTCGCCCAAGCAGCCATCACGCTGTGTCCTGCCCCTTGCAGGCTGGAGCCTGCCAAGAGCTCTGCTAGCTCCCACCTTCCTCTAAAGCCAGGCTGCAAAATCTTTGCATCATGTCTGACAACCACGTTTTCCAGGGTTCCTCAACAGATTGTGTAAGGGAAGGAGTTAAAAGTGAAAAGTTTATGCATCTAAAAACTCATAATTTCCTATAACATTTGCTGAACGTCTCACAACTTATTAAGTGAAGCCATCTATGAATGCAAATGCTGATTAGCAATTTGGCAATAGCCCAACATTCGCTGAATTCACATAGCTTTTCTTTAAACCAGTAGTTCATACATGATTAATTAGAACATCTCATTTATGTAGTGTGCACTTTAGCTCATTACTCTAAGTAAAATTCGTTAAGTATTTACATTTAGATAATTAAAATCTGGGTACACCCTTAAGAAAGATGCATACACTTCAGGCAAAGTGATTTTTTTTTTCTTTACACTACTGAAAGTAAATTACAGGCTAATTTACATCCCTGCAGCACGCGCTGGAGGCGAGGCCGGGCGACCCCTGGGCACGGCCCTTCGCCGGCCGCGGTGCCGCGGACACTGCGCCAGCTTGGCCACCACCACCCGCCCCTCAGGACTCCACAAGCTCTAGGTGAAGGAGTTCAACATGTCTCATCCTCACTTCCCACCGGTGTATTCTCCTCCTTTCACCGGGGGACAAGCCGAGCATATGAAGCTCAGGACCAGCCCTCCGACCAACATCGGGAGCACAAGCTCTGCCCCTCCCAGGGCATGAAGCGCAGGGAAGGGGACACAGGCACCACAGCGCAGCAGTTCTGCCCCTGAGATCTGACAGCAGCTGTGACTGCCCCACGACACAGCAGAACCCAAGAACTCAGCACTGCATAGCATTCCATGCACACAGCCTGCCAAGGGCCCCTCGTTTGCAGAGCTGGGGAATTCAATTTCAACATACAATAAAAACGGCAACTGCTGCATTAGAAATATTTTCAAGCACGTCTTTTCTGTAAGAAATATAGTATCAAAAATTGGACATTTCAAAGTGAGAGAGAGTTTCTCGCTTTCAAGAAGCAAAAAACCTTTCCCTGACTTCACTTGACTTGCCTGATGAGCCTTGGTTTGTCTACAGCTGCTGGAGAGGCTGGGTTTAATCCATCTCCACCAGCACCTCCCCTCTGCAGAGCTGCCTCGCGCAGCGTGGTGGGGGAAGCTCAGAGCACTCGGATGCTTTGTCTTGTTTTCTCTTGTTTATTTATAGCGTCCGAGCTACTTGATCCCTTTTCCAGGACTATTTTTCAGGCCTCTGCTTGGTGCCCGAGACATTATTAATAATGTCAGGTTATAAGTGATGGCCTTGTTAACCTGCTCAGAAACCTTGCAGGAGCAGGGATGCTCCTGCTGCCTCAGTGCTCCATCACGGCTGCACAGACAAGCGCCAGGAAACGAGAGGAAATGGCCCAAAACCGTGTTGAGGGGCAGGGTGGCAGCCAGAGCCCCATGGGCTGGTGGCGCCTTCTGAGCCACCACCCTCCGCCCCAGTGCGGGGTGAATTCAGGAGACATCTGTGAGCTCAGGAAGTGGGTTCCCAGCTGCTCCGGGAGGCCTGGGACCCTTACAGTACTTTTGCCTACAGCAAAAAATGTATTTCAGTGTAATTACAGCAGATAGCTTTCAATATGTCAGCTCCGCTATAGGAGCTGTAAATTATGGAAGGCGCTGCCTGCGCGCGGCCATTTCTCCCGGCGCCCGGCGAGGGAGCGCTGGGTGATGGCGTGACACACTTTCCATTTCTCTT